AAAGCATGAACGTCATACTAGTGCATTAGGCATTTGTTTTGTTCACGAGTGGTCCTAGTGCAAGTGGGAGACTGTTAGAAGTATGCCCTAGGACAATCATACTTTATGATTTTATCAATGAATATTTAATGCTCATTAATTAATAAAGTCACAAACTCATTTTATGTTAATTATTATTGTGAGTTTTCTTTATTAATATTTAGTCCCTGAATATTATGTTTAGTAGCTAATTAAGTACGTGACTTAATTTTGGAATGCTACACTTAAAATAAGCATAATATTCTAATTGTCCATGGTCTAATATTATTAATCCGGGACATTAATTATTAATAGACCATTATGTGGATTAACCGATGGCTATATTCCACTAGTCATGGGTATAGAGATATCAAGTTAATAACATAGATGCTTGTTAGTGAACAAGTTCATTGGAAAAACCCAACTTGAGGACACTGCTAGGTTATATGTCATCAGTGTTGTCCTCAATAATGATGAGGTGCTATATTCTTATACTTGAGATAATCATGGTTACTTGCATGCGAATTAATATGTATTAACACCATTAAATATTATTTTAAATGGGTAATTATAAAGGTGGTGATTGTACATATTATGAACCATGTAGTGGTATGTGAATTATCAAGATAGTTTTTGTCACTCTCGTATAGCGAGAGAAAGATATCTATTGGGCCCCTTGACAAGTAAGATTAATTAGCATGGCCATGCTCAAATGAGGTGTCATTTGTTCAAAATTAATCTTACTTGGTAATCAAGAAATATTAATTGAGAATAACAAGGATGACATGACCTAACCTTGTCTCAATTAAGATATCATTTGACAAAAGAGAATTATTAGCACAAATTAATCATTAAAAGGTTATGTCAGATTTAATTGACATTTATATATTTTGGATAGTCATAATGCCTTGCTAGAGGCCGCTTATAATTTGTGAGGCTTGAATTAATTTTTTAGCCCACTGCCAATAATATATAAACCTACAGGGTCACACATCTAAGTGATTTGGATCATTAATGTTCGTTAATAACATTAAAATAGCCTGATTAGCCCAATTCGAAATAGGGTTTCGAATGGTATTGGGCTAGGGCCTCTTGGAGGGTTTTATTAGCTATAAAACTCCTTCTTTCCTCCTCTTATAAATAGGGCTATATAGACCCACGAATTTTAAGAGTTAAAATTCGCTTCTAAAACCTAGAGTAGAGAGGAAGAAAGAAGAGAACGCTAGCACGTTCCCTGCGGCCGATCCAATCACGTGCGTGTGGATACCGGTAGAGCTCGGGATCGTTTTCTCGGACTGTCTGACATCCTTGATTAAGATTGCTATGTAAGTCCCTCTTATATCTTGTAATTTCGTTTATAGTAAGAACCTCAGATCCGGTTGTTTACTTTTGGGCAGTATTTTTTTATTTATTCCGCTGCGTGTTTCTGCCCGAAACCCGACAAATAGACTGTTCAGGTTTTTTAAATTTTTCTCAAAGTCTCAAGTGACTCAATCAGAGAAGATCTAGAAAGGTGACAGAGAAGGTCGAGTTCTGCTGGCAGAACTGGACCTGGCAGCAGATATGAGTTCTGTCCGGGTAGCCTCAGGAAAACTACTAAGGCAAATGCCTTTCTGTTAACTCTTAAGGAAGATCTGCTGAACACAGAGTCCAACCTTTTGAGTTAAACAGTTAGAATCTTAAGTGCGGAATGTAAATGTGTAAAGTAAATGACACCGGGGTTTTTATAGTGGTTCAAGGAACAACGTGTTCGTCTAGTCCACTGTTCCACTAAGCTTGTAAGTCAACAATTACAACGCCTTAGTTCCTAGCACTTAAGAAGCACTCCACGTCTTCTTCAAGCCTAGTTGCCACCCGAGATGCAGTCTTTGCTTCTTGATGACTGGTCTCGATTCAATGAGTCTCTTGAAGTATCCCCACTTCACTTACTCCAGCTAGTTTGAGACGTCCCTTCTCTTTCAAGAAGTGTTTGATTGAAAATCAGTTTTCTCCAACGTAGCTTCTTCACAAAAGATGTACAGATGAGGCTTTCGAAGTGTTGAAGAATTGGAGGAACGATTCTCTCTTGTTGGAAAGAAAAGATATGGAGTTTATGATCTTTTCCAACGTTACGTGTGTTGCTCGTGATGAATAAAATAAATATGAAGTCTTGAGCTTTTGAGAGTTTATGTTTAGTGAGATGTATAATCCTTTTTTTTCAATCCTTCGAAGTATATCATATATACTGGGAGCGGTCTTCCCGTTGGAGTGTAGAAGACAGCTTCATTAAATGCTTGTACTGTTGATTTGACCGGTTGGTCCTTCGACTTGCTATTTTGGGGGCGAAAGGATATCTGCATGGTCAATCATCAGCTTTAAATATCTCTTCGTACGTACCTCATTAATTGAGCATTTAATGTGTGTACAGTACCATGTTCTGTCGAAAGGCTCCTAGCTGTTAGGGTATTTCCCGTTAGTTTCACGGCCGTTGGAATGTCCTTCGAATTCTGCAAAGTACCAGCAAGTCTGGTGAGGCTCTTTGCTTGTAATTTTGATGTCCGCCTCTGGTGCCAACTCTGGTACCCAACTCTGGTAGCTTCTCTGATGGGCAACTCTGATAGCAACTCTGATCAGAGAGTCCAAAAGGATCTCTGGCCAGTCGACTATGTTAATACTTACAAAGACAGAATTCTAATACAAGATTTCTAAAAGGGGTTCCTTTAAATTCTAATTAACCTAGCATCATCAAAATCTAAGTACATTTATTCCTTACATCTTCCTTTGGCTTGTGGAGTCTCCCCCCGTGTTGCCACCAGTGATCATGTGGATGTGGTGCTTCTTTTCCTGGCACTGGTTGTACCCTTCTTCTTCATCAAGGTTCCCGATCTCCCTCTTCTTGCCGTTCGGATCACCGAGGGGGATGGTGTTTGGATTAATCTAGGCATTTGCCTTCGCCGTTGGCCCTTGATGCTGAGGGCCCCTGACAAATTGGGACAGATGGCCCGCCTGTATCATCCTTTCGATGGTTGCCTTCAGCAGATGGCAATCGTCGGTTCTATGCCCCCGGTGGCGATGAAAACGACAGTAAGGTTCATTGGGGTTGATGGCATATACATCCGGGGGTATGCGAGAGTCTCGCTCTACGAGGCCCCTCTCCTCGGCGAAGTCGAGAGAGACGCTGATGGAATGCGTCAAGGGTGTTGGAGGGCCTCAATAATCTCGTCCCTGTGATCCTTCGGGAGGGCCTCCGCCCCCTGCGATTGTACACGGGCCGAGTGAGCCTGGTTGATTTGGTGCCTGGCGTCATCGACATGGAGTGGTCCCTTGACTTTGTCCCGAGGGGGACGCCTCTTGTTTGCCCTCGATTAAGATCCCCGCTTTCCTGAGGTCTTTGGAACGCCTTACCCCCGAGGCAGTCTTGAACCCCTCAGTGATCATACGCTCCTCCTAACCTCTCGAGGGCAGAGGTCCGAGGCCTATCTCTGTTCGCACCGCGCTGGTCCTGGGACTGGACTTCCTGGGAAGCGGTGTCCTGAGGCATGACCCCTTCGTTGTTCCCTAAACGAAAGATAGGGTTTACGAAGGGGGTGGAGGTGGGCGAGGGGGGGACGACGTTCTCCCCGACCTGTGGCTGAAGTGGCACCAGAGTGCCGAAGGCACCTGGATTCTGGGTGAGTGTCTGGATGAAGGCAGAAAATGCCGACTGTACGTCAATAGTGAGGACCGGAGGGCTCACTTGGTTTTCGCTCTGATCCTTCTTTCGAGCCTCGATGCCGAGACGGGCATCGGGAGCATTCTGCTGGAGCTGAAGGCGCAGGTCAACAACAGCTTGTTCCAACCCAGCGATGACTCCGCCCTTGGGAGCCTTATTGGAGGCTCCGGGGCGACGACTTCGCCGAGGGCCAGGTTGTTGTCTTCGAGGTTCTTGGACTTGGCACGAGTGGTTCTTCTCATTTTGGTAGGTGTTTTTGAGTTCGGTGAAGGGGAGGGTTTCTTACTTGATTGTTCGACCTCTCAATGAGAGCACCAAATGATGGATATTGTACCCGGGGGTAGCTTATCCGAGGGGTTATTTCGGGGAATAACTTAGAGAGAAGTTAGAGCAGTAAGTAAGAGAGAGAGTATGTATTCAATATATGAATCTTGTGATCTTTACAATGGAAAATGGGCTGCTATTTATAGCAGCAATAAATACTAGGCACGGACACGTGTCGAACATCTGACGGCCGAGGGTCACCTCAATCGGAGTGGCACCGACATTTGCATGTGGCCGTATTAAATGCGGTGGTTGGATGCGACGTTGTACTTGGTATAGTGATCCAGCGCATGTGGAGAGGAGATTCTATCGAGGAGGATGCCTTCGGCTGTATCTACTGTACCGAAGGCTCCCTAGGCCGGGGGCCTATACGTGCCGAGGGCTGCAGGTGCGGAAGGGCTTTTGATTTTCGCCGTGTTTTCCCATTAGCTCTGTATGCCTAAAATCAGCTGTCCTGAGAGATTTTGGAGCCCTCGGCCATGGGGCCGAAGGCGTCCGTATGTGTCTCGTGGGCTTCTTGACACTTGGACTGTTGTGCTTTCTGGGCCTGTATTAGAGTAGTGGGAGTCTGTGGGGTCGGGGGTCCCTGGGCCATATACTCCATCAACCATATCAGACCAGCTTATTAGATCAGACCAGAGAAGATCATAAAATTACGTTTCAAGTACAAACATTCATACATGCTATAATATAGTACAACTCAGGGACAAGGAGATATCTGGACAAGATTAGATAACATGTGTTTTGTTTATTGTCAATTTTCTTTAAAGTTAGTACAATCGATATTATTTAAAAGTTAATAATGTAACTTTATGAATTCGAGGTTTAGATAAGTTCTATGTATTTGAACAATTATTTTGTGACCAATTTTTTAAATAATTTTATTATATTTGTTTAAATTTTACAAGTTATCTTATGATTAGTGATGCATATTAAAATAAAGCCATGCCTAGACATTTATATTTTAACAAAATCGTGATTTTATAAGAAAGTTTTATTAAAGGATAAATGATAAGTGACATTTGTCTCGAACCAGTCAGACCGGATGAGAAGGGTGTTACAGATATAGAAAGTGAAACAAACTATAATTTGAGATCACACGAAATAGAAAGCGCTTACATAATTAAAAGCCAAATAGATAATGATCATATACTATATTCCATAGTATATCTAAGGCTATAGTCTATAATATGTTCTCCCTTTCTCATTTTGATTGTCACATAAAATCATAAACTAGAAATTACATAATTAATGTAAAAAAATTAACATTAATCGTATACGTAGTACTTATTATTTTAAAAAGAAAGTGTCAAAATTTTGCAGTTACTAGATAAAAAAAATCCAATTGAGGACGGTGGAAGTTTAGAATAACTACATGAATGGCCGAGATTGTTTTCAAAAAATTATAGCAAATCAATTCGGATCATTATTGTTGTAGGCGGCGACCCCTCCTTCCATAAACTATACACGACGATAAGAGCATCTCCAATGCTACAATGTGCACGGTGCACATGTGGCATGAGAGATAGCCACATAAATATTAGTAAATAAATTCTTTATCTCCTTATTTGAATGGTTTTATGCAGTTTTGGTAAGTTTTTCTCCACAATGTCAAGAAGACCGTCTACATGTTGACATTGCAGTTGACATTGCAGGGGAAAACTTACCAAAATTGTATAAAATCATTCAAATAAGGAGAGAGATAATATATTTTCTAATATTTATGTGGTTATCTTTTCTACATGGTTATTTTCATGCCACATGTGCACCGTGCACGATATGACATTGGAGATGCTCTAAGAAGTCGGTTTATTCACCTCCACGCTGATGTGGCGACAAAAGCCCTGTCATGCCAGCAAAGCAGCATTTCGGCCTCTCTCTTCGCCACCAGGAACCCTCTCGCCTCTACCCTTCCCAGTAAGCAGTTAGCTTGGAAGTCCGCAAACTGACTGAAAACAACCGGCCTGAAACCCGCCGCTAGAAAAGCTTCTCGCCACGGAGTCCCTCGGCGGCCTGCCGCCCCTACCATTTCCATTATTCTCGGATACAGCACGTAAGTCTCGATCTTCTTCAACCAGTCTCCGCCGCCGCCGCGAACATTTGCCGCTGCTTCGAGGGAGTCCATTAGCGTCGAGTAAAAATCCAGACCTTCCATCACCTTTTGTCGAAAAGGAGACTGGCCGAATCCCGTGAGCCCTTCGGTGTCCACGTGCACCACCACACGTGGCGAAATATGACGGAGATCGGTGACGAATCCCGTTCCGATCTTCCTGAATATGGACGGAGACAAAATGACCGCAGTCTTTTCTCCATCCATAAACTTGATTGCTTTGAAAGACAGGAGCTCAAACGTGCTTATCAACACAAAATCGAAATCGAAAGCCGCCATGTTGAGATCGCGAGCGAACTGAGTCAAGTTCTCTCTGATGAGCCTCGACTCGACCGCGTATTCATCGGGAACCAGAGCCGTTATACGGAGAGCCAGCGGCTTGGCGCAGGAGGAGGACTCGGCTAGCTCTTTTATGAAGGAAGCCCAGTGTCCTCCAAGCCCGATATCAAAGTCGATGACGTGGACGAGCGGGGAGCCGACCACGGCTTCTAGGATGGCTTGGTTAGCCGTGAAGCTGGAGAACATGGGGATTGGAGAGATGCTAGAGAAGATATTGTAGGCTTTGATGGTTTGGATTATCGCCGACGAGGAGGAGGCGGGTCTGGCCATCCGAGTTGACCAGGTGAGTAGAGACTGGAGAGATTCCTTGAAGTAGAAGGCAGCTCTTTCGAGTGGCTTTCCCGAAGGAGATCTCAGCTTATGATTGAGCCGCGCCAATATCACTTGAGCCAGCTGGGTGGCGTTCGTTTCGAAACACTCGGCGAACCGGATCAGCTCGTACACGTAATCAGACGCCGTTAAGTTCCAGTTATTTTGCTGCTGAAAATCGTCATTAATACCGTTCCCACCTCCCTGTTGCTGCTGAGTCATCACAGCCGGCGGTTGAGGGTACTGCGCCGCCGCCATGGCTGCGATCGTGTCATCGGAGAAGCTGAATTGATGTTGGTGACTCTGATCGGCCGATTCAAGAGAGTGTTGAGCGAGTGGGAACTCAAGAAACTGAGTCGACTCAGAAGTATAGTTGTTGCTATTATTAGGGGCTTGTTTGGCTGTTGCTATTACATCTTCTCCGCCCTTAAGGCCTAAGTCCTTCATGAAAGAATCCCAGTCTTCAAAGTTAGTCAACACATGGTCAGCCAGCTGGAGAGGGTCGTCGCTATCCAGAGGTGGGCGGATGTTTTCCGGCAGGATGGGGCTGGGACTGCGGCGGCGCTCGAGGACGGATTTGGGTTCGTAGCTGATGGCGTTGGTGGCCGGAAAAGCAGGGGAGGTGGCGGAGGGCTGGATACTAAGATTACTATTAGTACCCCCACAATTAGTTGCCTTGGAGTTCACGTTTTCATTAGAAGTCAAGGACACTTTCATATCTTGGAAATGAAAGCAGGGGGCAGGGGAAAGAAAAGCAGTTAACTAACTGGCTCTGTCTTAGCCTCAGCTTTGTTGCTAAAGCTTTTTATTGGCTCTGAAATTTATTAGGAAAGAGATATAGAGGAAGGATCAGAAGAGAAATGAGGAAAGATGAATGGAAAGAAAGGGCTTTTTCTAGGGGCTATGATTTGTGGCTTTTTTTTATCTTTGCGTGTCCGTTGGACGTATGTGCCTAAATTTATCTTTGAATCTATATACTCCATATTATACTTCTTCTCTCGTTTGTCCGGTTTTACTTTTTTCGTTCTTTATATTAAGTTTCTCACGTACTATATTTGATAATATTTAGATGGTTACAATTGATTCTTACTTTATTTACATTTTATCAATTCAATATGATCACACAATACCATTTTTTCTTAAAAGTTGTGTCACACTCTCTTGTCCCAAACATAGTGCGATGGAGGTAGTAATTATTTGTAACTCAGTCAAGTTTTATAAATTTGATATCTCTAATCATTTGAATGGATGAGATATCAAATTATCATAGAAAAATATGGTCGTATTCATTAAATTTATAGTGGAAATAGGAGTATAATATTGTTAATGATTATCTATTTTTGCTTCATTATATTTGAAATTCAAAAAAAAAATTAAAGAAAAAGTCAACACCTTAGCTCAATTTGGTCATATGTCTTTCTTATTCAATTTGGTCATACCTCACATAATTAACATATTAAATCATATTTTGGGAAAATTACTGATGAATTTTAGTAATATTAGAATATTTTTTCTTTTTATTGTAACCCAGGATTACTTGAGGTAAATACCCCGTAAACAAATGAAATGCTAATACGAAGTACTCGTATTTGTTTAAAGTAGTAGTCTTTGGTTTTAACGACAGTCATTGACAAAAAAATTTGGGAAAAGTACGGAAAATGTACTTGTGGTTGGATCCGTTTTCAGATAAGGTTATGTGTTTCATTTTTTATTAAAGTGGTTCATGTGCTTGACTTTCGTTATCACATGAGGGTCACGCCGTTAAAAACGCCTGAGAAGGACGGTTAATAGTAACCTCGATTTTCAAAAGTGCCCGAAAAATTAAAAGAAAAATATCGGAAGGTGCCCCTCAACAAGATGACCATCTTTTCTCAGACGTTAGGTTTTTAAAGGCGTGATCCCCTTGTGATAATGGAATTCAAACACATGAACCACTTTGATAAAAAGTGAAACACATGACTCTATTTGAAAACAGGTTCAACCACAAGTATCTTTTCCGTAATTTTTCCAAAAAATTACGTATAAATACCCCATATTAATAAATTATACGTACTACGTATAGAAAAGTATTACAAGTTCCCTGAAATCTTGTTTTTCTACTATGAGATGTGAAAAATGAAAAAAGTATTAACTACTACTATACGAGTAAAACTTAGAAGTTGACTATGGACTAAACAAATCAGAATATTAGATATTATTAAACCGGAGATTAAATAGTACGGAAGACGTGTTAATATGAATTAAATCAGTTTATAGGGAGTATTACGTAGATACTAGATAGTAGAATAAAAATGAAAAATAGCTTTATTGCATTTGAAGATGCAAGGTGAGCTTGTCAGAATTAAGAATGAGGAGATTATTTAAAGTGTGAGATGATGACGAGGATAGATGAGAAGTCAAGTACTTAAGAACGAAGGCTTCTAGTTATTATTAGTTAGTACACGCGATAGAAAACAAGCTTAGCTTGTAGTTCACAAAAGTAGTGTATCTGTGTATGCATATACATATGGGCATATGGCGAGATCATCAATTGGGGTTAAACAAAAATGGGCATATCTTAAGTGACCAAAAATAGGATGATGTTAATATGTATCCAATATAATAATATTGGAGCAAGGTTCAATGGGATTAAATAATAGCAAAATTGCAACAATAAGAACATGAGGTTTAAATTTCCATATTAATAAAACCATGATTTTCTTATATTAATAAAATAAATCTATTAGAAATTATAGGAAGGGTAGAATGGGAAGAAGGGACATATATTAGTCCTATATTGGGAATAAAAGGATCGTAGTCCTATTGTTGAATTTTCGGCTAATTTTAGTGCTAATACACTTCTGTAAAACAGCTCCCGATTTATGGGCCTCAGTTTTTAAAAAATTATGAACTATTATACAGTAACATTATATATTCATAATAATGAGTACAATATAGTTAGTAACGAAAAAAGATACAGATCCAACATTTTTTCATCGGTCCTTTTGGTCATTTTTTCAAGTTGTGTTGCTTTAAATAAATATAAGTAACTTTTAAAAAATATATTACATTATTTAATGAGTAGTATTCAAATGATTTGAGTATAAACATATAAATTGAGACTTTATTTACATTGGGAACCGGACCTCCGAATTCATTAGATGACTCTGACCATGAGGAGCATTTTGAGAAGATTTGTGAAAGGTCGAATTATTTCTATAATGTTCCCAAAGAAAGAAGATGGGTGCAAAGGCAGAGGCAGATCTAGGGCGGGCAACCTAGGCTTCGGCCCACCCAAATTTAAAAAAAAAACTAAAATTTTAAGGAATGAGGTTTTGTGTAAAGCTTTAATTTTTTTCAAATGTGAGATTATTCTGAGATTACTTTAAGGTGGAAATATTGTGAAAATGCTAGTGAAAGGTGAGATTATTATTGTCAATTTTTCCTTTCTAAAATGCTGAGAGACGTCATCGAAAAAACCAGATGTACAAGCCCGTTTGATGACCCTATTTTTCAACTTATCGGGTTTATCGGCCAATTTTTCACCAAACGCGTAACTTTTGATTTCACGAGCTAAATTGTGTAAAAATAAGAAACTGTAAGGTTGGAGTTACTATTCTAGCTATATTGGCCGAGGTTACCGTAGATGATCATTTTAGCTATTTTTCATATAATTTTTTCTTTTTTATTAACATAAATATTTTAAATATCATTTTTTCATAAATCAGCAGAATCAGCCATTTCAATCACTCCAGTCAGAACTTCATAAATTTCTGTTGAATCAGCCAATTCACTCAATTCAAGTGTTACCAAACAGGCTCCCAATTCTGCACAAATGCACAATGGAAGAAGAAGAGAATTAAATGACATAATATCTTCCTTAAATCGCGAAGAATTTAGCTACAGTTTTCTTTTGTGATCTTCAATTTAAATTATGAATCAATTCAATTACTTTCGGAAATTATTAACTTTATTATTCGTGATCTATGCAAGGTACGGATCAATTGACTAGCTAATACGTACTCCGTATTAGAATGGAATAATATATAATGGACATGCATGCAAATAAAAGCTTCATCAACGTGGTGGGCTAGCTGGTAGCTACTAGCTAGGAATAATAAACTCGTAGCTAGAGCGAGCATTATTTTATTATTTCTGTGATTTAGGAGGAAAGAAAATCTTAGAGACTTACCTCTCATATCACATTTTTAAAAGAAAGAAAGAATGACCGGAATAGTAGTGCTACGGTTCTGAAAGATTAATATAGGACCACATATTAATTTGGACATAAATAAGATCGTACTTGAAGCAAAGAGATGAAATTACCCTGGCTTCCCCAACTGTCTCTCCATTTCTGCGGACAATCCTTCGTCTCCTACTCTCCCCGATTTCATATTTGCAGAGAAGAAGGCTACTTCACCGTCCGCTGCTCCACCCTCACACGTCATCATCGTTGCAAGCAACCTCAAATCCCTCGCTTGAAGTTCACATCTACTGATCGACGTCATCTACTCATCGCGATCGTTCGAGCTCCGCCGCATCGCACTGTGACCGATCAACCTCCGCTGCATCGCACTGCAACCGTTCGACCGCCGCACCTCCATCACCAAACTTTCTTCTCCTTTTCTCTCTGAATTTCTGCACAGCAGCGGAGAGCTCTCTACACCGGCTTCTAATAGGCTCGTACGACGGCGATCTTCACATATCCGGTGGGCTAGGGTTTCGACGGTGGTGCGATTTAGGTCCCTGTGCGACAGAGGTGGGCTGGCGGCTAGGTTTAGGGGCGGTGGTGGTGTGCTGATTGCCGAGGGCTGTTGGATGGGGGTTGAACGCAGATGGCTGGGGTTGGCTGTCGGCTGAGTTAGGAGGGGCGGTGGTGGTCTGACTTTTGAGGGCTGGGGTGGGGACTAACGGTTGGGCTGGGGGCTGAGGGCTTGGAACTAAGGCTGGGGCAAGGCTAGTGGGGGTGGGGCAGGCTGTGCTTGTGGTGGAAGAGCAGTGGTTTTCATTGTTGGTCACTGGAGTCACTATTTGTGGCACTGACTAGCGGGGTGGGGGCGGTCACTGGTTGGGGTAGGGACGGTGAATACATGAACGGGGCCGCGGTAGTTACTGACCGGGGAGTCGGCAATGACTTGTTGGGGGCAGAGGAGATGGTTGAAAATTATGTCACTGGATGGGCAATGTTGGTCATTGAATGGGTAGACGTTGGTTACTGAACGGGCGGAAGTTGGTCACTCGACGTAAGTCATTGTGTCAATTGGTCACTGGACAAAAGTCACTGCACATTTGGTCACTGTGATGCGGGTCATTGGTGGGACGTATTAATTTTTGGTCACTGGATGAATTTGTAACTATGCCATTGGTAACTGTAACACTGGTCACTGCACATTTGGTCACTGTGACAGGTCACTGTAGCAGGCCAGTGGATTTGGGCTGAGTAAGGGTGTAATGGTCCCTTAAGTATTATTCAGTCTTATTTTGGAGTTAAAAGAAAAGTCTCTTTTTTTGTTCAAATGGTTTTAATTAGTATTATTTGAGGACAAACCCCCTTTTAAAATTAGCCTCGATCAGTCCAAAACTTGAAATGATTAAAAAAATAAAAGCTCATTGACAGAACAATTATCATAATTAACAAACTAGATTAGGATCTCGAACAATTATTAAATTAAGGCTCTAGGGCACTTCAAAATATAAAATGGTACAGCGTTGCACGGTGTCGTGCGTTTGAGAGCAACCGTTGTAAATAATTAAAAATTACAACAGTCAAAAGTTGCTTCCAACACACAATCTTCGACTTTTGACGAAATTATATGTTATTTTGCCGTAAGTTAGTCTCACCTCACAACATAATCGTACAAAACGTGTTGTATTCACACCACTTTTATGCATCAAAGACCATAATTAAGAATC